CAAATATCCATCCACAAACTGATCTATCTTCTTTACTCCACGTCACTACGTATTTGCTATCTGGCGATATCATAAGCTTGGCTATTATGTGGTTTAGTTGGTTCAGGTTCGATCTCAATAGTTTCTTCAACTTTGGACATTGATGTTTGCAAAAGTTCACCTTCATCAGTTATTTTTGAAAAAAGTTTCTTACTTTGTACGTGATTTAAACCTATAAAACTATGGGTGTGCCTTTTATTTATGTGTTATGATATATTAGATGTCAATTAATTTTACCCCTTACGTATGTAAGTACTTCACCTTCAGACAAATCTGCAAAATGTCGAAAGCAATACTACTAATATTCTAGCGCACCCAACTTTGCTAAATAATAAGGATTGGCTTAGAATATCATTTATCATGCAATGTTTAAATTGGCTTAGTTAAATTGCTATTAATAGCTATTGTAACATAGCCACTTAAACATTTTGCTAGATAGGACCTAAGGCTTATTAATTTAAAAAAACAGTACAAATAATAAGCAAACCAGATGTTATGCTCAATATTCAAACTCAGCATATCATGATATATTATTGTTTAAGACTTGTTTTACATAATTTGGTTTCTTATTTGCTTAGAAACATGGATATATGAAATAATTCGGAACCACAAAGAAGAATATTGTAAATAATTATAGAATTCTAATTATATTGTCTAATGTATACAAAATATTTACTTATGTTGTCAGTTATCTGAGTTTGAGGCCCCTTACATTTACATACAAGACAACTTATGTCATAGAGATTCTTATATGTGGTCTGGTCTAGACTGGACAAGTAGACTATAGTTAGTCTTATAACCAGTTTGAAACTAAAAAAAAAATTTATCTGCTCTCAGAATTAGAATCAGGCCAGTACAGACAATTCAGGCCAAAAATAAGTAGAAATGGATTTACTACATTATCACGAAATAACACAGGCTAAATCAATGAATAACAGGTACATATCGAGAGACAAATCTCCCGATATGTACCCATTATTCTACTATAGATCCGCCAAATAACTGTAGCATATCAGTAGCATATTGGTAGGATATGAGTTAGATATTGGGAGGTAGATCGATAATGGTAACATAACATTAACATACCGGGACATCCTAGTATTTTACTCTTAGTCCAAATAGTGCCAAGAGTAAGATACCAGTGAGAGACCCGAAATACAGTGCGTCTGTCGCTAGGTCGAAAGGAGGTTTGTGTAACCAAAGTTGGGTTACGTAGGGTCGAATTAGATTTGGATGAGTGGTTAATAAACGAATGTGGTTTATAATGTAGTTTATATTAATAGAGTTAGATACTTTATTATTAAGTAAATCAGGTCTTATTCTTCCCAAACGGCCAACAGGCCTTTACTTATAATTAACTCACTATCTATTTTTACATGCAGAATTCGCCATTTCCCAGATTTACCCTTATTGCTGTAATTATTGGAATTCGCATAATTTTAAAAATTCACCGATTTTTCCTAATTCACAAAATTCTGGAAATTCCAAAAATCCTTGTAATTCTGCCAGTAAACCCCAATTTGGGGGATGTCTAAAGCGGAGAGAATTCATATTTCTTAATAATTTGTTTGATTAACTTTAAGGTTAAGGTTAGGTTTGGGTTAGGTTTGGGTGAGGTTAGGGTTAGAAGTTGTTTATATATGTAAAATTGCCTTTTTAAAGGTTGGTTTAGACTGCTGTTTTTTCTATTTTTTACGTTTTCTATTTTTTTTTCTTGTTTTGCTTTGTCGAGCTAATCCCAAATATAGAAAATAGTTACAGGAATGTTGAATGATTGTCACATACTAACCAGCCAATCAAAATCATTAATCTTATAAAAAAATTAGACAACAGCGAAATCGAAGAAATTTAATCAAAATTTTATTTAAAATTTTAAAGTAAACATCGCTGTATGTTATTACACACATACAAACATTCTTTATTAATTTGGACCCATTTAAACCATATTACATATAAGTTATAATCATCATTATTCAAAATTTTATATATATATATATTTTTTTAACAATTTAGCAGTCTTGCCTCTACTTTATTAGGCTTTATAATATTATACTATGAAATATTAAAATTTTCAAAGATTATAAACCCTAACGCCACCTAAATTACAAGTATTAGCTCACCTGGCTCTTTGTAACCAGAGTTCAAATTACCCATGTGTGACCTGCTATAGGCAGATTCTTCTCCAAAATATTTTTTTCTGCACTTGAAAAAAATAGATTTTTACTGAAAGGTTTCACCAGCTCATCAAGACTACCTATCCTTCTTTCTAAACTTTTTTTATCTAAATAGTTTATTTCTTACTTTTTTATAAGGGAAGAAAAAAATATGCTATATCTACGAAAGAAAACAAAACTATTTAGAAAAAGAAAGAGAAAAATAAAAAAAAAATAAAAAATATTTAACCGAAAAAAAAGAGGTTTTAAATATAGTTTTATCATAATAGGATGAAGATAAAAAGAGTAAAAAAAAAGACATAGGAGTTCTGATGAACATCTTAAAAAAAACAAACAAAAGAAACAGAAAGAAAAACAATACCTATTATAACTCATGCCAGGTATAAAGGTAAAAATTATATAGTAATTGCAACTAATTAATATATCTCAGCTATAAAGCTTCGCTTTAATATAGGAATCATTCTGGACACATCACCAGGGTTGAGAATCTTCTAAACAGGGTTATCAATTTCATCTCTGTACTATAGCATTATAATGATAAACAAAACAAATACGTAGTTGCATTCTACTAAGTTTGTCTGAATTAGGTAAGTGTAAACAATGCTGATCTTTTGGAGAGGGTAAGCTGAAATGCTTACTTTTTGCTAAAATTTTTGGTAAAATCAACAGGATGTAAGAGAAAGAAAAAATACTTGGAACTACTAAAAGAGCATAAGTTTTTTTTTACTAGAATCAACTATCCACCTGGGGCACTATTTAGATTTTATCTAATCTTTATATTTAATTCTATAATCTAATAATTTAAATTTTTCATAGTATAGTTGAATCTCACAAAATTAATCCTGTCAAAACTAATAATTTGTGATAATTAATACAAAATTATGTCTGTTTCTTAAGTCAAACCTGATAACTTGTTAAACCTAATAACTAATTTTAAAAAAATTAAATACTTATAAAATATCAGATTTGACTTGTAAATAAATTGATTTAATTGGCTCAAATAAGATTTTGTATAATATATTAAAGATAAGAAATAAATTTAGCCAATTATATTTATTTACAGCTATATATCTAGTAAACTATTAATATCTCAAAACTGATAACTTGTTAAAACTAATACAAAAGCCGGCTACTATGCATATCAGTTTAGGAAGATTATATTAGATTTAGATATAAACCTTTTTCCATCTATCACTCGTATACAAATTTCTCCCAGCTTAATTATTTTAAAATACTTTATAATTTTATTTTCTACCAAGTTAACTTTAGTTTTGCTACAATTTGGCCTTTTTTCTTACTTTTCTCTTAATAACTTTAAAATGGCTATCTAAACATACTTTTCAAACTTAGAAAAATTTATAAACTTATCATTTCCATCATAACAAGCTAAATTTCAAGCCTGTAAATCTAAAATTAACAGAAATATATTTAATAGATAATCCACCAGTCACCTAAATAAATTTTTTTTTTTTATATATAAATTTTACTATAAGTGCGAATGCATAGTGTCTCTATCTAAAACTTTTTTTATATTAAGTAAATCTCTTTTCAGCTTCTAACAAAAGTTGTAGAGCTCATCAAAATGTATTTAATACAGTTAGGGATTTTTCAAGAATTTGGCAATTGATAATCACACTCTATTTAGCAATGATTATCATTCGGATTATTCTAGACTTCATTCCAGATTGTTCTACATACAACGATTGACCAATTAAATTAAAAGCATATATTATATGATTCTTTTGCAGTCTTAACATTAAACAGTTGAACTTTAATGCAATAAAAGTACGTACGTACAGTACATATAACTACAACATTGTTCTAATATCACACTACTTGCTGTTTATTTATTACTAATGTAAAAAATTTACTTGTGTGCGCTTATATATGAGTTTTGGGCTACCCATTTACAAGTTCATATCCCATCGCCTTTGCAATGTAAGAGTTAGAGAATTACCAACCTAATACCGAAACTACTACAGTACTAAGGCTTAATTAGCTTAAGCCTTCTATTTTACGATTGGTAGTTAATATTATTACCTAGAACGGATTACTGGATTAGTATTGTCAGGCTCGGTTTTAAGCAAGTACTGAAGTACCCAGATGATCGTTTTTTATAACTCTTGCTGTCTTGTCAACGATCTTACTAACAGCATTATTTTCCTGTTACTGTATTGTTATTATTTGTCAATACTGATCATTTATAAGAGGTATTCTTTTGTTGATTAGAGTAGAGGAGTATGATTATTATTAGGAAATTTGGTATTTAAAATAGACATTCAATTCTGTGTTGGTCGGTTCTTGTTTCATTCTTCATCAAAATATATTTTGAGTAATACAAAATTGTATAATTTTTGTGTAAAATTCAATTGCTAGTTACGCATGCTAAATAAATAAAGAAATTGAATAAAATTTGTATGCTATATACTGCAGAACTGATATATAAATTTTAAGTTTTATATATGTGTACAATTACTTTAAGCGCGTCTAACAACTCAAAAGAATTCCAAAAGGCCAAAATTAAAACTATGAAATAATTAACACAAATTAATATATAAAACTTATAAAGTTACACATTCTGCAATTACTAAATTATTATTAAAATGATCTTTATTAAAAATATTTTTACATATGAATTTACATTTGTTTATTACAGCATTATTATACATAATTCTATTGCGCTTTCTATGCTCCAATACAATAAAAATACTGTATTTTACTGTTTAATATACAAAAAAAATTTTTTTCTTACTTAGAAAATACAATAAAAAAAATGCTTTACCTGTTTTACACTTCATTATTAGGATTAACACCATTGTCGGCTAATATATTCCTAATTTCTTGAAGAATATTTATTAAGTTATTACGAGACTTACTCGACAAATCTTGAAAACATGATCGATCCACATCATCTAAAAGAGGAATTAAAGATTTAATGATGGATAAAATTTGTGGTCTTGTTAAAGAACTGTCAGTTTTTTGAAGGTCTGCCTCTTCACATGTTATAGGTATTGGATGCCAAACGCCTAATGAATTTTTTTTAATTAGTTTTGCATTAATAAACTCAATTCTCTTTGAACATGCAATTTCACTAAATCGTTTCATTTTTTCACTTAGCGTCCATTCTCCACTTATATTTTGAAAAATACAATTATCAACATTTGGATTTACAAACTGAGATTTCCTTATCTGAACTCGAAATCAACGTGATTCAGAAATATAACTAGGATGTATTCAAGATTCATGAGCTTCATTTTCAGAATAACCTATTAAATTGAAAAGATTAGTACATAACTTTACAAACTTTGTACAATTATGAGCCGCAATTTCCCAATGCCGTTGTGAAGGTATCGGAAGAATTAAAGACTTGAGAGATTTATTAATCTCTTCAAGTATCGCATCATGGCCTTGATGTTAATTCAAAAGTTTAGATCGTGAGGTTACAATTCTTTCTTGAATTAAGTTATAAATCTCAGGTCTTAAGTGTAACATTTTTTCTACATCATAAATCTCGATTAATCGATAAATTGGATGGCACCGAGCAAACCAAATAGGTGCAAATATTCATCTGGCTGCAAGTCTTAGTGAAGGTCTATTAAAATGAACTTCAGTGTGAAAGTTAATAATTGATTGCAAATAAACAAAAATTTGCTCATACTTCAATTTAAAAACATAATCGGTTTGATTTTGGGCCCATTTAAAATAACCTTCAACAGAAGGATTTTTCTCAGAAATGACATAGCCACATTAACTCAGAGGCCATGGCATGCCTATATATATTACATACTGAATCCTAGAACTTATGATGATCAGAGCACTTTTTGAAAAACTGAAGTTGATTCTCTGTTCGATATCCTTGACATTGAGTATAATCTTTTACGTCAATATCTCAATTTAACTTGACGAATACTTTTAGCATATTCATTTCTTCATGAAGAGCACCTGGAATTAATATAAGCCAAGGAAAATCGGTTTTTATTTTTAGTATATGATAATACGGTACACTATCACAAATAACTACAACCTATTTACAACTATTTTTCTTAACTCTAGATATTTCTTCAATATGTTCAAGAACTTTTCAAACATTAGCAATCGAGTTAGGATTAACTCCTATTGGATTAGGAACGAATACTTGTGGTGTATAAACCTCATGAGCCGAACGTTGCTTACTTGATTTCCTAAAAGCGTAAGAATTAATAGCTAGAGACTTTTCATTAGTGTTTACTATATTAGATGATTCATCAGATTGCTAATTTATTTTAGCAATTGTTGGTAATCTATTATGGCATATAGGACAAATTCGCTTCTTGTTATCTATGTTGGAGGTATTACAAATTGAACATTTTTTTATACAATCCACCTGACTTTGATTACGTATCAAGTTATCAATTATATTCATTTCTTGATTTTTTCAATAAAAAGATCTTCTAAAATAATTGAGAGATAATTATTAAGCTCTTTATTAATTTCATTTTCCATACCCGATATTA